CATTTACAGCAAACCCTCCTCGTTCCAGGCAATACCACTCAGATTAAAATCTCCCAAAATTACCGCTTTTGCGTTAGACTCTAAGACTCTATTAGCGTTGTCGATATAATGTTCCAGAAAATGTTTTTGAATGGGCGACGGGAGGTAGACGCCACACAATAAAAGCTTATTTGGGGTACCTTTTTCCGTAGGTATATTCAATTCGATCCAAATATCCTCGCATTTACTCTCAAAATGGTGTAGCCTACGGGAATAAATATGCTTTGACACAGCCACCAATACCCCGCCACCAGATTTGTCCTGATGAAAGCCACTAGTCTCGCGGTCTCGTCTAAAAACTGCGTAACGATCACTAAACAACTCGGAGTCAAAAATAGTGCTATTTAACCAAGTCTCACATAACACTACTATATCATAATCGTATTTTAATATGTTTTTGTACAAGTTTGTCGTCTTCGTTCGAAGACCCCTAACGTTTTGAAAATATACATTTAAACTATTGAACTTTAAGCCATATACTATTACACGATAGATTACAAAATAACAAAAAGAACCTAAGATAAATTGTCCAGGGTCGATTTATTACGCACTAAGACGTATTCAGATGTATCAGTTTTCCGCATGTATATACGGCCGCCCCGGACCCATACATGTTTGTATTGAAGTTCTTTTGCACGTTTACGGGACAAAGCGTGAAGAAGCTTATTCTCAGGTGAAAGATTTTCTACTACATATATGGGAGTCTTCCTGTTATGCCCCAATCCCACATGCTCCGTGTTCAATTTTTCCTGTGAGTGAGTTTTATTGTATTTCAATGCAGCGGCTAGCAGGGAGTCCCTGGAGCGAGGGCTGTTAAGTTTAACTAGAATAGAGCGAGGACGGGTACTCTCGGGGTTCTTCTTAGCAATGCGTGAACAATATAAGATATCCGACTCGTTTGTAGGGCAACATATGGTTTTGCTCAATTTTGTTACAATAGATAAAACGTTTTCAGACTTACGCTCAGGAACACATTGGATTTCCAGGTTCGATGCCCGAGAGATTTGCTCCATTTGATTAAGACGGCTAGTAATGATGATAAGATCACTCTGTAGGGTTTCCTTTTCCTTAATAATTGTGTCAATTTTAGTCTTACAGCCACTCAAATCCTTTTTACATTGCTCAAACGAATCACTCATGAATTGTATTGATTCCGTGAGACCAGTGATCTCTCCCCCTAAAAGCCTGTAGTTGTCTATTCAGGTCAGCTTTCAAATCTCTCACGCATTCTTCCATGATGACCCTCATCTCCTCCTGTATAATAACACGCAACTCCGACCGTGATACATTAAAACTCGTACCGGCGTCTGACTCAAGGAGTGAATCCGGGCCTTTACGGCGCAAGGTAACGTTAGCTTTGGGGTTACTGGGCGTCGATGGCCGGACCGGTGTATTAGAGTTATCGCTGCGCGGCTTTTTATTCTTACATTCAGGGCACAGCCAATCTGCCTTAACTTCAGTCGATAGGTTTTTAAGCTGAGCAGGCGAAATGGCGACACATATGCAATGATAGTATGCCACACAGACACAACATTGCATGCATTCAGAGTCCTTAATCTTAGTATGACAGGCGGAGCATTGATGCATATTTATGTTCAAAATCGCGGCAACTACGTATACATGCAAACAATGCAGGTGCAAGCGGCGCTTGAGTGCGACAGCAATTATGTCACTTGTCTCTTATCGCGCCGGGGGTGAGGTGAGGTACCCCGCGAGTCCACAGGCAGCTACCGAGTGTTATAGTATTAAAATATTATTTTTATAGTTAGCACAACACACGGGATTATAGCCGCAAATGCTATTAGAAAGCGCTTCGTAAGAAGTAAACTCGCACGCACTGACACTGGATTTTTGCTACACTAACCGACAACACGTCCACTTACGAGTAATATATTGACTGTGACCTTGAAACTACGTGTAAGCAGTTCTTTTTAAGCATAATTAACATGGTATTTACAACCGTTTCTATTCCAGATGACTGGAAAACACATATTATTATTCCTATTCTAATACCTGGTAAAGACCCCTCTTCCGCATTAAGCTAACGCCCTATTGCTATATCATCAACCCTGTCGAAAGTCATGGAACATCTTGTAAAAAATCGCCTTGAGTGGATTCTTGAAAATAGAGGCATTATATCAAAGACCCAATTTGGTTTTAGAAAAGGTTTTAGCACAATGGATAGCCTTAGCATTTTAGTATCTGATATAAGACTAGCATTCTCCAATAACAACTTTCTCGAGGTATTTTCATCGATGTTTGTGTAGCATATAATACTCGTAATGTTGTTCTCCCTCTGCTCAGGCAAAAAATGCATCAGCTGAACATTCCCGAGAGAATAACAAATTTCATAGCAAACCTACTTTCACATAGACGCATATTAATTCGCTCTGAAGGAAGATTTCTACCAGCTAGATTTACCTGGAAGGGACTACCACAAGGTTCTGTCTTGAGCCCCTTGCTGTACAGCCTATACACCCATGATATAGATAGATCTGTAAATTATCTAGGTAATATTTTGCAATATGCAGATGATCTAGCCTTATATGTATCTAATGTCTCTATTACTGAGGCTACCTCTCGTTTATCCCAAGCTGTCAACTTTCTTAATAATTGGCTATTGGAGCATGGTTTATCAATGTCCCCTTTAAAATGCAGTACTGTGGTTTTCTCTAGGCGAAGGTATATACCAGAAGTGTCCATCTACATTGATAATACTCTAATCCCCACTGAAAATCAAGTGAAATTTTTAGGAGTAATCGTGGATAACAAAATAACAGGAATTCCTCACTTATCATATATTGCCTCCAAATGTGAAAAAAAATCTCAATGTTATTCGATCTCTATCAGGTGCTTGGTGGGGTTCTCACCCCTACTCACAAAAGCTTTTATACAATGCTCTAATTAGAAGTCACTTTGATTATGGGTGCTTCTTACTAGAGCCTTGTAGCAAAATGGCTCTTAATACCTTGGACAAAATCCAGTCAAAATGTCTACGTATAATAACTAGTAGCATGAAGTCCACTCCCATTCTCGCTCTTCAAGTTGAATGTGTTGAGCCCCCTCTATCTCTACGCAGGCAATATCTCTCAGATAGGTTCTTGTTTAACGTAGCATGTTATTCACTCCATCCTCTCCTTTCCAAACTTCATTCCTTGTATCGGTTGGTCAGGGACTCCCCATATTGGTCGCACAAGGATTTGCCATGCATTATAAAAAGCTATATTAAATTGCTCAATATTCCCTCTCCAATTTATCAATCCCTTAGTAACCCACTTTACAATATCCCTTACGAGGCTCTAATTTTCAATCCAGACATTATTCTAGATATCGGAATAGACAAAAATACTATTGAAGCAAATAACAAATTAAATATGCTCCTCCTCCAAAATTGGCATGATTGGTTAACTATGTACACTGATGCTTCAAAGTTAAGTAACGATGGATTAGTAGGGTCTGCAGTGTGGATCCCTAAATACAGGATTGTTTTAAATTTTAACTCTCCCCCTGACTCATCTGTATTCACAGGTGAGGCTTTGGCTATTTTGGAGGCAGTTTCATATGCAGAATCACATGGTCTGAAAAGGACCCTCATTTTCTCGGACTCCCTTAGTTGCCTTCAAAGTATTTTATCCAGTCCTTTTCACTCTAAGATTAGATACCCGCTAATTTTAAATATTAGAAAGTCTCTGTACTATTGTCATAAAAAAGGGCTGAACATTGTATTGGCTTGGATCCCTAGCCACTGCGGGATTCAGGGCAATGAAATTGCTGATAATTTAGCTAAAGATGCCACAAAATCTGGCTCTATCCCTAGACAATGCCTCTATGCACATGACCTCCTGCCAAAGGCCAACTCCGGCCTTCTATCTTCTTGGCAAAGTTATTGGCATCAGTCTAAATTTTTAAAATGTAATCAATATTCTAAAGTCCAAATTAATCCCATCAAAACCCTGGTTCTTTCAATATCGCCACTTTAGTAAAGCTACCACCTCTACTGTTTGCCGCCTACGCTTTGGTCATACTTGTACTCCTGTACACATGGCGAAACTCAGGATTAGAGATAGCTCAATCTGTGAATGTGGCCTAGATGAAGGATCTGTCAATCATCTGTTCTTTGAGTGTCCTAAACTTTCTTTCTCTCTCTACGATATCCTGCCCAATTACATCCCTCGTCCAGTAAATTGCCAATTGTGTGTGCGTGCGTGCGTGCGTGCGTGCGTGCGTGCGTGCGTGCGTGCGTGCGTGCGTGCGTGTCTGCGTGCGTGTCTGCGTGCGTGTCTGCGTGCGTGTCTGCGTGCGTGACTGCGTGCGTGACTGCGTGCGTGTGTGTTTGTGTGTTTGTGTGTGTGTGTGTGTGTGTGTGTGTGTGTGTGTGTGTGTGTGTGTGTGTGTGTGTGTGTGTGTGTGTGTGTGTGTGTGTGTGTGTGTGTGTGTGTGTGTGTGTGTGTGTGTGTGTGTGTGTGTGTGTGTGTGTGTGTGTGTGTGTGTGTGTGTGTGTGTGTGTGTGTGTGTGTGTGTGTGTGTGTGTGTGTGTGTGTGTGTGTGTGTGTGTGTGTGTGTGTGTGTGTGTGTGTGTGTGTGTGTGTGTGTGTGTGTGTCTGTGCTCCCTCTCTCTCTCTGTGTCTCTGTGTGTGTGTGTGTGTGTGTGTGTGTGTGTGTGTGTGTGTGTGTGTGTGTGTGTGTGTGTGTGTGTGTGTGTGTCTGTGTGTGTGTGTGTGTGTATGCGCTATGCGTGCATGTGTAATTATTATAATAAAAAAATATAGCATTGTTGAAGTGCGAAACCTCGGCCTATTCTCTTCTCCCCATTTGAACTTTCTGTGTATTGAACATTTTTGAATTGAAATTAAGATTATTTCTACAAAATATTAATCTAACGTCTAAAGTACGTCATGTTGTGATCCATAATGGATCTTGTATAGCGTTAAATTGAACTGATCGAAGACATTTTGTTTCAGATGAAAGAAAATGACGTTGAAAACGTCCGCATAATCGTGATCCAGCCTCACCAGATCACTGACACCAACGTGCTCGTGTACACGCCCAACGTGGACCACTACAAGTCCTTACGTCTCACCCTCGCTTTAGAAGACACGCCGCATACTCACATTTTCTCCACGAAACTGGACCCCGCCGGCTTCAGCCAGCACGTGAACCCGGGACTCATGTACACCCTGCCGAGGCTGCCAGCCGACAATAACACTTATGTGCTTCGCTTAGAGTCCACTTTGTCTAAAGCAACGCACGCGTACGAAGAGGAGGTGTACTATTTCAATTCGGACGGTCGCTTCAAGTATTTCAATATCAACTTTATGCCTAAGGTACTATCTTGTTTTTAGTTCTTTTTCAGTTATGACTCGTTTAACCGAGCGGCGGTGTAAGAATATACACTACTATATATTATCCCGTGGCTATTGTAAGAGACGATAGACGGAAACAAATCATGGTGTGATCGGCAGCATTTTTCGTTAGGGAATAAAAATAAAAAAACTGCAGTTGCCAACCCGCTTGTCAAGCATGGCAGCTACGTTAAATCATCCCCCCTATAAGGTTATCTATGGGGGAGGCCTATGTTCAGTAGTGGATTTTAATAGGCTGTAACGGTACCGTGAAATGTGGCAACTTGACCACATTTTTTTTAAATTTTTTATATACTTATATAACCCAGACAGACTTCTTTAACTTTTATAGCAATAATGACATAATCATCCATTTTTACTAGTTATTTCTTTGAAATTCATTTAACCTGACATTCTATTTAAAAAAAAGTAACAGAGGTCAAGTTGACACATTTGTGGCATCTTGACCTACTTACCAATTTTCATGGGTGCATGCATTTCATTTCCTTTTGTAGGTCAAATTAGCAATATTTTACGTCTTCGGATTTTGAAGTTGAAGCATAGTAACCCAATTTGGATTTATAATAAAAACTGGTAATCCTGGACACTAGGTCAAGTTGCCACAGGATCGGTAACGATTTTCATACAAAACATGCATATTGAATAGGGTTGTCACAATAAACAAGACACTAGTGATAATAAACTATTTATTTATTTTATAAACTAAATTACAAAATGAATATTTTACTTACATCTAATAGTTAAAAATACATTACTTCATCATTTTTAAATAAACTTCGACGTCGTCGTGGTAAAGTATATACTCGTCCGGATTTTCTGATATTTGTAGTATATTTATAAATTTTACAATGGAATTTTCAGGCAGTGAAGAATCTTTATCTAGGGGTTTGGGTTTTAAAAATTTAATATTATTATTCATATACTTATCGCCACCTCTGAAATTTTATTTAATATTTGTGAGTCACTTATGTCACAGCCTTCCAGTTCTGTATCTCCCTGATCTATCTTTGCTATCCTTTCAAATATTCCTTTTTCAATGATATACACATTTCTTGCTACATCTTCATCGGATTCCATTGGTGGATCTGGTGATTTACCATGAACTTGTTTGTTCATGTGATTACTTCTTCGAAATCAACATCTATAATGCACTGTCACTATGTAAACTATAATTTCTATTTCTTCTCTAGTTGTAGTTGACCCTCTCTGTACGTTTCTTGATACTTTAATAGGAAAAGAAGGAATCCTTTTCTTTCTTGCTATATACCATTTTATTACGCTTTTTTAATTCTATCCACTAGAAATAATTTCGCAGTGTTCTTTATTTCTGTCATCTGGATTTTCGATTGTCACTTAAATTTCCACAGACTTTTACAGTCCAGTAAATTTATGTATGGGCTTGCCCCAAGTTTCCTACGATCTCGTTTTCTTGGTGGCATTATATCCTAAAATAAATAGAGCTATATAGGTATGCGTAGGTAATTTAAATATGTAATGATTTTTTGTATTTACGCGAACAATAAATTTAAATATGTATTTTAGGTATATAACGTGAAATAATGTTTGTCTGGAAGCTAAAATGTATCTTTCTAATGATTGTAACCATCAGTCTGCACAAATTTTGTTATGATTTCTTTTAAGCTTTCGCAATTTATCGACATATTTATTTTATTTCGGGTCTTAATTTGTTTTCCCTTATGAATACCGATAGCACTAAGAACCGAAATAAAATTAGCAAATTTCACTACGGCAATCACTCGAAAAATATGAAAAAATTTATCTTCTCCGTACATTTGGTCAATACTGGATCTACCAAACAGACCCTGTTTCTAAACGAGTATAATTTAATGTTGTAATTTAATGTGTAAAAGCTAGATACCACTTTAAATCTTAATTTAATAATAGAAATCAGTAAGTGCTACATAGTCGGACAATATTTTCGAAAAACTGAAGATAAATTATGTATCTATCCACAGTGAATAAACTTTAATTTTGTATCAACCCTGGGTTGACTTTGACCTAACATTAGCCAACAATGCCGAAGTAAATATTTTGGCAGATTGGTCTAAAAACGGATAAATCATAACGTAAGATTAATCTCTGAGGTTTATCACACAACATATCGAAGTTGCACTTACCAAAGATGTATATTTTAAGCTTTATAAACACAATGATGTCCACACCGGCAAAAACCGTTTTCTGTCGATCACACTTCAAAATGTCCTAATGAATAAACCAACAGTGCTACCACTTTAAAATCACAATATATTGCTAGTGATAGTTTTAAAACCTACCACTCCTTAAATGATTTATCAACTTGTTTTTAATTCTATGAAATTCAATAATGTGTCATAACACGGAACCTTTGGTCAAGTTGCCACATTGTACGGTACCGCTTATGGCTCGCACGATAAGTACATTTACCAGTGTGTAATAATTTTGCAAGTTGTTCGTTGACATATTACTTGAAACTTTAAATTGACAGTTTTGCCATATTTATTATAGACTTAATATTTCTTAAGTGCGTGACCTGCTATTGCCTGATGCACCGCGCGTGGATCCTATATACAGAACGCTGGTTTTAGGGTGTTATCGTAGTATTTATTAGTAAAACATATTATGTATAATTTGTATTGGTAATAATGCATTTCATAAAGTAGTTTTTTAATTTTAATTTATTATTTTTTTTAGTCAGTTCTGATTTTACAGATACTGGCAGCTGGTTAATTAGGTTAGGGATCATATATTCTAAGGTACGTCTACCGTATAAATTATTGTATTTAGGTTAGGGAAGGCTAGTTTAGATTTCCCGAGTTGCGAGTTTTAGAGTAATCACGTGTATGGACAATTTTTAACTGTTCATAAAAAATTCTTCTATAAGAAGGGTAAACTTTACCTTTTCGCGTATAGGTATAATTTGATCTTTAAGGGAAAAGGGTCACAGCAGGACTGCAAAAACTACCGCGGTATCAGCTTGCTTAGTATTGTGGGTAAACTGTATGCTAAGGTGTTAATTGAAAGAGTTATGAAAGAAACTGATGGAAAAATTTGGGATGTGCAAGCGGGTTTTAGAAAGGGAATGGGGTGCACAGATCAAGTCTTTTCCATGCGCATGATTGCGTAGAAGTTTTTGGCCTAAAAACCAGAAAGTTTTTTGTGCGTTCATGGACTTGGAAAAGGCTTATGACAGAGTGGACAGGAATGTGTTATGGCAAACACTGAACTCATATGGGTTGAGCGCTGGTTTGATACAGGCATTAGGGTCTCTTTATAGGGACTCTAGTGCTTGTGTCAGGATCAATGGGGTCTACTCGGACTGGTTTGGCATCCAAAAAGGTGTCAGACAGGGCTGTGTAGCTTCCCCTTGGCTGTTCAACCTATTTATGGACCGGTGTTTGCAAACTTTGAAAGATGAAGAATGTGGTTTAAGAATGGGCGAGTTAACCGTCAAATGCCTTTTGTATGCCGATGATCAAGTCATATTTGCGTCATCAGCGGCTGAGTTGCAAATGATGGTTACATTAATGAACTGGGAATTAAAAGAAAGGGGAATGAAAGTGAACGCAAGTAAGACGAAAGTGATGGTTTTTGAAAGAGAAGAAAGCAAAACGGTATGTGAAATAAGAATAGAAGGAGAGTTAATTGAGCAAGTGGATGAGTTTGTGTATTTGGGATGTGTATTTAGCAGGGATGGTAGATATGATAGGGATATAGAACGACGAGTAAATGCAGGGAATAGAGTGAATGGGGCACTACACTCTATTATGAAGAACCAGAATGTGTCAAAACAGGCACGTATGGTAATTCATAATGCTGTGTTAGTCCCTACGTTAATGTATGGTAGTGAAAGCTGGGTGTGGCAGAAGAATCACGAAAGTAGAATAAATGCTGTAGAAATGCGGTCTTTAAGGAGTATGCTAGGGTTGAATCTGAATGACAGGGTGAGAAATTGCGTGATAAGAGATAAATGTGGTATGCAAGATGATGTTGTGACCAGGATTAAGAAAGGAATGCTTCGGTGGTTTGGTCACGTAGAAAGAATGAATGATGAAAGAGTGACAAAGCAAATTTATATGGCAGATGTGAACGGCCGAGTCGGGAAGGGACGCCCTAGAAAAAAGTTTGTCGACCAAATTGGCGATATTTTGAAAATGGGCCACGTTAGAAGTACCCTTAACCGACGAGCATGTATGCGTAGATATATGGATGTAAAGGAGGCGAAAGAGGTATGTCAGGATCGTGCCAAATGGAAGTCCGTAATCTCTGCCTACCCCTCTGGGTGACAGGCGTGAGTGTTTATGTATGTATGTATGTATAATTTGATTTTATTTCATTCATTCATAAACTCAATGGTATTTAAAATAAACAGGTAGGTTGTAAAATTATATGAAAGCGGTAGTAATTAGTAGATGTGTATGTATTTGCAGGTGCGTGCATCGGATCAGGAGTTGCGCGCGACCTCGGTGCTGGTGGTGCCTGCGCTGGGGCTGCTGGTGCTGGCCGTGTGCCGCCGCGAACAGTTGCTGGCGCACCTGCGAGCCGCTACCACTGCTGCCACTGCCACAGCTACCACCGCTGCCCCAGCCGCCGCCGCCGCCAAGAAAAACGCGCGCAAGAAGACGCAGTAGTGCTTGCGTTTTTTTGGATTTGGCTACAAAGACTCCTATGTATACCACAAGACTGGCATTGATTGCAGCCTTAATACATTGCGCGTTCAGTTGCGGTCGACTCTCTGTAACTCCTTTAGCCAACAGCTAGCAAACGAAAACACTAGTTCTTTGTGTGTGTGGTATACTTACCGCGCTACTTACCCGCCCAGCCGGCTGTGGCATAAGCTTTGTGCTGAATTGCCGGTTTAATTGTATACATAGAAGTCTTTGGTTGGCTATGTCACCTCCGGTCTAGAAGAACTGCTCACATGTGTCACAGTTAGAGATGTTGATAATCAATTAAGGTTTCGGCAGGAATTCCCGCGGATTCTGCTGTTGTTTTATTGTATAAATAGCAGTTTAAAATATATTTTGAAACGTAAAAGTGATGCAATTTTGCGTATTAAATGTCTCCGCATGTGAACTATTAGTGAGAACGATGTAACAAGTGATCCGGTGGTGATGTGAACCTTAGGATAATGTATCTGCTTAGGCGCCTTGAGAAACTGTCGCCATCCACCGTTTGTTGGCTTGAGCTGCCGTCAAAATCCCCCAAATACTTCGCAATGTGATTTTTTTTTGCGCCCGAAGCAAATATGGGCAACCCTCCGGAAAGCGGGGGAGGGAGGTTGGGAATGCTCATAGCATACCACGCAGCCGGCTGCGTGGTTATGTGGTGACTTTTACCCACTAAACCCAACCTTTTAGAAATTGGCTTAACGATCCGACTAGAGATCTCTAAGCCGTATACGAACGCGACCCTCCTTGGCAGAAAGGAGGGCGCAGCTTCGCAATGTGACGCATCAGCATATTGTGAAGAAGTTTTTGAACAAAGAACTGTAAAAACGAAGATCTCGAATGAAATTAAGATATGACTTAAAAGACAAGCATCCAAAACTCTTAATAATAATAAAATATAATTAATAATTATTCATTAACCAAACCCTACAAAACTGTATTTAAGACTGCAACAATAAATTATAAATTATTTATAATTATATATCTTTATAATCAAATTACCATCTGCTTTGTACATTTTTAATATTTCAAAATGTACAAAGCAGATGGTAATTTGATTATAAAGAATATGTCATAACACTAAATTATCTCTATGAAAAATGTAATTCTCATTAAAAACACGTTAATTCACATAAATCAGAATAGCCTTTAGATGATACTCTGAATATTATTTTTTAGAATTTGGATACAATGAGTGGGCGAAAGATTCCCCTGATCCTCCAAATTTACGCGGGTGATTTCTGGTTCGAGCCATTATCGAAATTTTGCAATTAATTTTTATATATAAAGATGCATGGGGAAACAAAAACGAAGTAAATAAATTATCACCGAAGGAGAAGTAAGGTTCACGAGTGACCTCATTACAGCAATGCAGTGTTAATGAAACTATAAAATGAAGGGAATGACATATCTGAACGTTGTCACGTCACGTGACTCAGCGTTGATTCCATTAATTTTTAGTTTTCTATAGCGTTAAAGATCGTAGAAAATCATCTTAGCTAACCCCGCTGGTGAGAATTAGGTCAAGGTCAAGTGGAGACCTGTGTTGCACCCATTACAAGAATGGGTGGAGACATTACCATAATAGTATAACATTTTATGCGATTATAATAACGCGTACAATAAATGAACGTGATTATATAAATTATATTATATAAGATTAACTTATATTTCGAGGGGAAGAATGGTGAAGAATTTTGTGTAGGGATTTTGCATTAATTTATTTTGTTATGAACTTGACTACTTGTCTCCTTTCAAGAATTGTTTATGTATAGTTTACATATACTAAAATATAAAATCAGACTTTCCATTCCTTTTTTTTAAGTATTATGTAATTAGTGTCCAAAATACCCAAAAAAATCCTCATCGACTTTCGAATCGTTGTTTATGCAATCAGATTACAATACAGCTCAATACAATGTAACATAGCTACCAAATTGTTTATGGATATCACAGAATGCTTTTTGAAAAAATGTTGAAGTAGTATTAAATTATTTACAAATTTTATTTATTTATTTATAAATTGGGAGTTTCATAGCTTTTTTTACGAAAATGAATGAATAGCATCTGTTATACCTATTCAAAATTTTCTGTAATTATTTTTGTCAATTATTAATAATTTCATGTAAACGTTTCAATATATTCATTAAATACTTATTATACGTGAATAAATTCAATATTTTCGTTTATTTTCTTTTTATTAAAATTAAATATAATTTATTAATTTTATTGAACTGCAGTAAGTGTTAGCACGTGTCGTATGAATTATTAGTGTATTATTTTGTTGTGGGCAATAAATAATGTGGATTGTTTTCTAGCTTTTTCTTTACATTTTTATAATTGAAATTCGTGTCGTAATATTACCTGCTTTAATGATTTTTTGGTTAAGAAAAATGTATCCCACTCTAAATTTCCATTTATATCGTGAAGGTGTTTTATATACATATAAATTGCACATGGATGAACATCCACACTCTGGAACAATGTATATCGTAGGCCATAAAAAGCATTTAATCTCAGCGGGTTCGAAAGAGCGGGGACCTGTGGTACTGTCACCAAACTTGGCCACTGTGTTACGGTGATTTATAATATAATGCCATCTACCGCTTAATGTTGAAAGCAAGTATGTGTGCACGGAACCTGCCCACGGAACGTATTTGGTACGGTAAAATTGTCTTGATTTTATATATTACTGCCATCTAGCAGCGGGTAGCAGAACCAGATCAGCTTTGGTTTGTTGTAACGCAAGAGTATTATATATATAGTGGACAAACTATTTTTAGATGACAACACATTTAGGTCTTGTTGAACTGAGAACATCTATCTCTGAGAACTTTTCGAGGCACGTTAGCGATGGGCACTTTCGGCTTTTGGGATGGAGAAAAAGCACTGACCACTGCACTGAACTCGTGTGACCGTCACGCTCAGATTCATATATTTAACTTTTATTATTATTCTTTTTCATGTAAAACAGCACAACAAATGAAAATATTATTACTCTATAGTAATACGTCGTAAAATAATTTCTTAACAACCGAAAAATAAAGTTTTCAATTTTGACGTGTAGTTCTACGACTGACAGTTATTTTAGCAGGGAAAAAAGAAAAGTGTAACTGCACCAATGCTCACTGAGCCACTAATCATACATAGTGATTTAGACCGCGGTTTTTCAACCTGTGGGTCGCGACCCCTAGTCGAAAAGTCATACTTGGTGGGTCGCGATCGCAAGCCAGGTAATAAAAAAGCAAACACATCAATAAAAATCAACTTTTTATATCAAAATGGTTTTAGTGAGAAGATTGTGTCTGTTTCTTTTTTATTAAATTGTCCAATCGTGGATGTTATTTGCAATAGAAACAGATAATTTTTTATTCAGTATAGATTATGAATAATACATATTGAAATTCACTCTTTTGTTTAATTTACCACTGGTTCGAAAAAAACCTCTGTCCTGGGAAAAACCAGCAAGAAACCCAGCGGGACTTTCATGTATTTTACACTTGCGTTACACAATTAACAACACAATTTCTAATTTGTTTGTGTTGTTAATCAACTCATTCGCATCAATAAATTCCTAGGTATAAGCATTTTTATACAAACTTTGTTTAATAAAGTTTTTGAACTTTGAGGAGGTCAAATTTTGTACATTTTCTGGGATTTGGTGCAGGCGAGTAACTGGTATTACTAGATTGTGTCTGTTCCTAATATTTAGAGAATGAATATCACTTATTTTTGTAAAACTACTTTTATTTTTGTGTACATACAGGACATTTTCATAAATGTATTGAGAAGCCTAAGTAGATTTCTTAAAATTTTTCTCTGAGTGACACTACGTGTTAACTGATAGATTGATCTTACGGCCCTCTTTTGTAAAAGAAATATAATCTACGTCAGTCGCGTGTCCCCATAGCAAAATATCATATGATATTCTGCTATGGAAATAGTTAAAGTAAACAAGTCCAGCTATTGTCCGTTGCAGAACTAAGTCTGCATGCTAGTTTTGATATATGAGACCCTAATGAAGCTTCGCGTCTCCAAGAAAAATGGTGGTATCTACTAGACTCAGTTCCTCCCTATTTAAAATTACCATAGATTTTTGACATTTGGAGTTATGAATTTTACACATTTAGTTTTAGTACCATTTAAATTCAAACTATCAACATTAAACCAATTTACTATTTTTTGTCATATTTTAATAATTGTCGTTTTAAATTGAATAGGTATTAATGAAGTATCATCAGCAAATAATACTATATCATGGTTGTCCCCTACTATGTAAGGTAAGTAATGTGTAAGTCGTTAATAAAGATTAAGATCAGGAATGGTCCAAGAATCGAGCCTTGCGGAACTCCCATTGATACTACAGATCCGGAGGAACCTTTACCACTTAAACCTTTATTGTAAAAGAAAGGTAGTAATAGCCCTGAGACACGCCCATTAGTACAATCGAAGAACTCATACTATTAATGACAACTTTTTGCGTTCTGTTACTTAAATATGATATAATAAATTTGAGAGCATTGCTTCTGTTCTTTTTACACCGTATTTTTGGATTATCCTGAGTTTCCTGAGACGTAAATAATCAAATCATTTTCTAATTGGAGCCGATTTCTCTTCTTAGTTTTATGTTTACCATTACAGAGAATGTTAGTTCACAAAAGGTAGGAAGTGGCGAAAGGCACTAATAGTTTTGATGCTTCCCTTGCCAGCTAGCTCTGGATATTCTCCTTTGATCTTCACCCAGAAGACATCAATTTTTTGCGACTTAAATTCCATTTTAAGCATGCCGTCAGCTGCTGCTAAATCTGTACCTATGTCTAATAATATTCCGCTCATCAGATGTCGCTTGTTGTTACTGAGGTGAAGTTTTTTGTTACTAAATATCATTTAATTAAAAAATTAGTTTAAAATAAAAGCTTATCAGTATCTAGAATATTATATTATTATATAAAACGGTGCCTCAGTGGTTTGCTCTATAATTTTTTGCACATTTTTAACTCTTTTTTTTATTTTTCTTTTATGAATATCTGTGGTTTAGTATATTTATTTTAATCCAATTAATATAAAATATAACTAGTAGTTCATAAATAAACATTAACCTTTACATTTTTCGAACAAATTAACTTCCCCTCATTTTTAAATGGCGCCACCAGAAAAAGTGGATAACTTGACCGATTTTGATGTTTTTTTTTAAATAAATAGGATTATACTTCTGCAGTAGGTATCAAAGAAAAAACTCCACTACTAAGGGTGACAAATCCCCTTTGGATGAAGTTAGGTAAATGTAAATAAAATTGTTATTAAATATGTTTTACGTGGTAGAGCCAAGCTGCAGCTATATTACTAGTATAGTTGTAGCACGATTGGGTTGGCTCGACTGGGGAAGGACCACGCTCTCACAAATAGAATACCGTAAAATATCAGCTTAACACTGCTGTTATTTGTACGGTGAGTATAGAGAACCAGAGACCCTTTTTATTGGAAAACAGGCATTCCATCTTAGTCCTCAGGGGTGACAACGGATCTGCATTTTGAATTTTGATACGTTATCACGGATAGATTTAGATGTCTACGGGCCGCAGCAACCACTTATGTGCTCGATAGTTACCCTAATTCTATTTTTAGACGACATGGATAATGTGATATTCTTTCGTCTTTTCAAAAGGGTAAAAAACAATTAACTTTTAACAAAAAAGAAAACTGATTTTTAAAAACTAGAAAAAAACTGTTGACCTGCAGGTCATCGCTGGAACTTCCCGCTACGTTCAATCTCAGAACTCTCGACAAATATTTTTTACAAAGTAATAGTTAACTCATTACATCAAAAATGATAAAACCTAAGTTTGATGAAACCCTTTCGAACGTCACCAAGTTCGTTCAAATCGGTTAAGCCGTTCAAAAGATAAACACGTATGTGTGATACTTACATACAGACATAGTGACATCCTCGTAGGAATAGTCACTAGTCAGTAGTCAGAATAGCTTCCCAGGACCTCAAAACGTCGAGATCTAATGAAACTGATCTGAGTAGGTATTCAATTCGATTGTATATTTCTTATGTGTGGTACTTCATAATTTTTTTCTGGTTGACCCGATTTTGATGATTCTTTTTTTATCTGCAAACTGGTGCTTCTCGTGTAGTTCCATATAAATTTAATCAAGATCTGACTATAGTTTTAGAGTTATCTTTAATAATGCGTATTTAATTGACTTGTTGATGTTCTCATTTTAATTATATTGAAGAATCTTATATTGAAAATGTTTACAAATTATAACATTTTTAATATTATTACTTCTCATTCTATTTGGTTTTATAAGCTAATTAATAAATATATTACTTTAAATGTATTGCTGTAAAACATTATCAATTCATTATCTGTAGCAGCCACTAAATCGATTTTCACATTCTGCGACTGAGCGGGCTTGATGGTCCCACAACTTGGCATTTTCTTTGCTAGAAACAAAAAAATAAAAAAATAAATATCTTCTACTAAATAAGCAGTTTTTTCAATTTAATTTTTATGACTAATATTATTTTTTTAAACCTCTGATCATAAACATGAGTGTTACGTCTGGCTGGGGTAGTTTTTATGTATATAAGTATTGTTTTTTTACAGAATAGTGACAAACGAGCACACAGTCCACCTGATGGAAAGTGAATGCTATGGCCTATGGACATATACATCTATTCTCGATTAAGGTTCAAACTGAAGCGTTGACATCCCTGAGGATAGAGGAAAATAAACTAAAATGGAATGCGTTGTTTCTCCATTAAAAGGGGTCTCCATTTCTCTATACGCACCATACGAAACACAGCAGCATTAAGCTACTATCTTACGCTGGTATTCCGTGAGAACGTGGTTCTACCCCGTTCGAATCAACCCGTTCGGGTCATGTTAAATACGAAAATTGCACATGAACGAATATCCAGACCCCGAAACAATTATTTGTAGGCCTCGTTGGTCTAGAGATCGTAAACGCGGCTGCTAGTTATAGGTCCCGGGTTTGGACCCGTTTTCTGACAAGAAATTCTCAGCATCAGCCCGGAGTTAGGAAGTTCATTGTGTTTCACCCCTTTGCCTCCGCAAACCGCGTAAAGTTGTAGTCTCTGTGACTGATCTCTCTCCGGTCGTGTCGTATTACCGTGCAATCGGACTATGAGAGTGAGGGAATAGAGAGTGCACCTGTGCTTCCATACACGTGGGCACTATAATCATATCCCATGCAGATTGTGTGCTCCGGTGAGACTGGCCGCCGTGACCGAAATTCGGTCCAGAGAAACTAATTCATGTAGTATTGCAACCGGAATGTTTATCCACTGTGCTATAGAACTCACATAGTTAATACTTACTTAACAAAATAGAGCTCGTACGCGGCAAAGAAGCTGTACCTGGAGCGAGCGTGCAGCTTGCACAGTTGCAATTTTTCGCATTCCTCTTCCAAGCTGCAAGAAGCGTATAGTTCTCAATTAAAGACGGGGTATTCGTATAATCACGACAATAGCTTTAATATTAATAGAAACAGACGTTACTTTGCGGAAATCCATTATAATAAATTTGTTAAAAAATTAATTAGCTTAGATCTTGATGTGTCATACTTAGTTTGAAGAGACCGATGATTGCGTGCACTATCCCTGTCATCATTAATCCCCGCACCACATTAGGAAAGACATCACCGTCGATAATATAACAATTGTTTCGCCTCTCCACGGTGATTGAATCATCCTCAAAATCCTGTGGAAATAGACTCTGCATTGGCTGACCGCAAAGCTTAGGGGTGTGTCTTTCCTAGTGTATAGTGGTGTAGATAGTAGTCGTGCTAGGATTAACGGTGACGGGGATAGTGCACGCAATTGTTGGAGGTCGAGAGGTGCTCTTCAAACTAGTTCAGACAATTTTTTTTATATTATTACGCGCAACTAAGCTAATTAATTTTTAACTTTTTAACCATAAATATAGAATTTGTTAATATCTTGAGTATAGCGCCATCTATCGGATCCTACCATAACTATGAACTAACCGGAGTGATTATATTATATTTTTTGCTATGATCCATCGTCTCGACAAAACAAAAATGTAGGTAAGTATTATATGAATTAATAAAAAATAGTTGAATATGATCAAATTGTAAATATTAAATTTGCATGCTATTTTAATGGCTAAACCAGGCGTTTTATCTAATAAATAATAATTATGTTCATCTCTATTGCAACATAACCTTTCTTCATTCATTCAATATGTCGAGTTGTTCAAAAGTTACGAAAATCACTAACATTTAGGTAATTAATAATTAACTCTCGTACTATTTTGACTACACAAATATGTTCGATTTATTAACATAAATCGAACATATTTCATCAAGTAACCAAAAAAGTATATAATATGTATATTTGCATATTGTTCTGAGATGACAGCATGGTTTTCGATGTCAAAAAACCTGTGTGAATTTCAATAGTTTTTTGACTACAGCTTACCTTCTCTTGGTTCGTATTTTATTTAATCCATTGTCTGCAAAATCTCCGTACATTGGTGACGGGTTGACAAATCTTTTCCACAGTTCGTGGCCACTCGCTGCAATGTCTAAAAATATCAAAAAATTAATTATGTGACATAAAACTTCGGTGCTCTCAAGTTTTCAAGGCTATTTTTGTTATTATTGCTAAAAATAGGTCTCTCCTATAGATTAGCTCATAGAAGGGATATTTACTACAGTTGGCACGCTTGGCAAGCAGCTTGGCAACTGCACATTTTTATTTTTATTCAGCTGTCAGGAAGTGTAAGAACATCGACTAACCTATATTGTTCCGTGGGTGTCGTTGGAGGCGCCAGAGGTACAATGAAGGAGGTAAGAAAATAAAAATACTATGGTTGGCAGGTGTGATAACTATGGCAAAAAAAGTTGTGGAGAATTATATATATAATTTTATATAATTATATATACTGATCTCAAATGAGGGCACTTGCGTCCCCGAAATTAAACGTAGAATAGCAATAGCTAAGGATGCGATGACCAGGCTGACAAACATCTGGAGGAACAGAAGCATAACAAATAATACGACGACTCCGAGGCGCAGTGGCTTAGCAATGAGTGGCTGCGCTGGGGATCGCGGGTTCGAATCCCGCACGGAACAAGTATTTGTATGACCTACAGATAGTTATTCCGGGTCTGGATATTTGTCCTTCTGCAATTTATGTTTGTAAACTACCCCCACGATACAAGAGAAAATCTTAGTGTAGGGGTAACGTTTAAAAATAAAAAAAAATACTAAATTACGCCTAGTATACACTCTTATATTTCCAATTTTTCTCTATGAAATGGAAACATGGACTATACGCGTCAGAGAAAGAGAGAGATTGATGCGTTCGAAATGTGGTGCTGGAGGCGAATGCTGCGAATACCGTGGACTGCGAAGCGCACAAACGTGTCAATCCTATCACAACTCAAGATCAAGACGCGTCTTTCCACCACATGTCTTCAAGCGCATCCTCAGCTATTTTGGTCATATCTCTCGCCGCGGGGACGAAAGTATTGAGAAATTGATAGTTGTTGGAAACGTAGAGGGAAGAAGGCCCAGAGGTAGATCTCCAACCCGGTGGTCTGACCAAGTCAAGGGAGTCCGTACGCTAAATTTCTACGACGCTATCCGTATGGCCAGCGATAGGACCCGGTGGAGATAGATCATACACACACAATAAGCTTACTCTCCGTGATGGGGATCACGATCCTCAGTCATGAGTGACCGACTAGAGAGAGAGAAGCTTTGCCGCCCTGTAAAACCAAAACTAGGAGAAGGACAGAGACAAAAACTCAAAGTCGTATACTACAACTAATATATTAAGAAAAAAAAATAGCGACAAGCTTAGGCAATAATTAGGGACACTTCGAAAAATCGTCTTAAAAAATTAACTACACAAGAACATACTGAAATCGACTAAAATATTTACTATAATGTCAACCGTCAAAATGGTGTCGATAAGGGAGCGCCCTTTTGGCTAATGGTCGCAACACACAGTCAGTTCAACTGATCATTCCAATTGATCTGTTCATACTGGGACTGTTGATATTTCTTAAAATATTGGATTTTAGATATATCGATAATTATAAATATATCAATATCGGAGTTTTATATATAAGTTTATTTATCGATATATCGAAAATCCGATACTTATTTAAAAAAAATATTAACAGTTTTAGTTTGAACTGATCAATTGGAACGATCAGTTGAACTGACCGTGTGTGTCGTCCAAAATGAAGTGTCACAGATGTGTCACAGATCCATTTATGCAAACTAGGCTGTAGTTTTTGAGTTATAAGAAAGTGACTATATTAACTGGATAACCGTATTATTACCGTCTCATACGTTAGTAAGAAACTCAAATTTGGAAAAATGACAATTTAGATGAAAACACATAAAACATTTTCTGATCTAAGGTAACAAATAAACTTTAAATTGAAATTTGTAGCAGTAAACTTTGAAATTAACTTCATCGCGGTAGGTATTATCCGATAAATAAGTTAAATAAATTAAACAATATACAAATTGTATGCACCTACCATTATCAGCGTCCAGTGGTTTACAATTCACGGCACAAATCAGTGCTGCCACTACAATAACTTTTACAGCCATTTTGTAATATTAGCACCGCTAAATATCTACGCTTTATAAAAAATATTTCACTGGTAATTATTTTGTTAATTTACGAATATATATCGCGGAAAACATCCCCACCATGTCGTAACGGACACTTTCTGACGCTTTTCGCATGATAATAATGATATTGTTAAATATAATAATGTTGTTAGGGCTATTTATCGTGTACAGATCGCTTGAACTGCGTGTTTGACCAAAATAACTTTAGGGTACGGCAAAAGCGAAAACAGGGAACTTAAAAAGACTGATGATATGGTTCGGCTTCATATTATATATATTATATTCCTATCAGTTAATATCACCTGTAGTAAAATTGGCTCAAACAGCCGTGAATGTGATCAAAATGCTGTTATGTAAGTGGTTAAAATGTAAAAGTTTGTGATAGTCTTTTTAACGTGGTGGAAACAAATTGCAGCTATATTACGGTCGAAATAGGTAGGACCACGCTCTCACAGAATACTAGCGTAATAGCAGCTATTGCTGTGTTTCGTATGATGAGTGTAGAGAACCGGATACCTTTTTTACTGGAAACGAGGCATTCCTTTCTAGTCCTCAAGGATTACAACGCATCTGAATTTTGATTCTTAAACGAGGATAGATATAGATATCTATGCGTCACAGCCATTTATTTAATAACTCAATGGGTTTGCTCCCCTAGTGTTGTATAACTCAATGGTCACAGCATACACTTACCATCAGGTGGACAGTGTGTTCGCTCGTCACTTTTACTCCTATAAAAATGTACATTAAAGGTGCTAAAAGTTAATTTGCAAAGATCGGCATAATAAAATAAAATTACGCGTCTTACTTAGTTTAAAGAGCACCTCCTGCCCTCCCTTAATTGCGGTAACTATCTCTTTCAGCACTAAACATCACTACACTAGGAAAGACACAACAATGCCGATAATACAACACGTGTTTCGTCTATGAACGAGGCATCCTAAGGTGAAAACAAAACTGAGGGCATCAGGAGGGTGCTCTTCAAATTTATTAAGTCACATCATTTTATTTCTACGTGGATCTTAGCTTATCAATTTTTAACATCCTTAACATTTTTTATATAATGGATCTTTTTATTATCTTAAACAACAATTGGGAGCATAAATTTTGCCGCGTGGTGAAGCATTACAGTATCAATGACCGCATTTTATGCCGTGAATATTGAAAGAGAAGACTAAGAGAAATGCCAGAAAGAGAAATTTACTTGTGGATTCGACTCCTAACAGCGAGTTTTTGGATTGATACGCCTTAAGGACCTTCAAGAAATAAAAGGCCGCCAAAGTACATGCAATTACTCTGGTGTCGCAGTTGTTCACGGGCGGCGATAGTCACTTACCATTCGGTGAGCCGCATGCTCGTTTACCGTTACCATAACAGGCCTATTAAAGTCCACTGCTGATCAAAGGGGGAGGACCTTAGATTGCCTCATAGGTCATAGGGGGGATATTTGCCATAGTTGCCACGCTTGGCAAGCGTAATACAGTTCCGTGTTATGGCGGTATAAGAATATCCACTATCCCATATCATCCCGTGGGTGTCGTAAGCGTCTTTCCGATAACGATTGAAAATAAAAAAAACTGCGGTTGCCAAATTGCATGCTCGTTTATCCCCTCTTATATAAACAAGAGCTAAAGGATTTAGATAGTCTAAGGAATATCCATACCGTTGAAGCCTGATGTAAAATACGCAAAAAGCAGCGGCAAAAGAGGGACTTTTGGAATTGTAATCGTCAATACACCTGCCAAGTTTGGTTTTTATGGAAAATCCCTCCTGCTATTGAAACAGCTCCCAATAAAAACTAATATAATTATAAAACAAAATTGCTTGTGGGCGTGCTCATGATTTATACATTTTAACTCTTTTTTTTTAATTCTTTACTTTTATTAATATCTGTGGTTTGGTTTATTAATTTTTAATCTAATAAATACATAAAATATAACTAATAGTATCTATAGAAAGAAACATTAACCTCTACATTTTTCCTTTTACTTTTACTGGAAACGAGGTATTCTATCTTAGTCCTCGGGGCTGGCCACGCATTGATTTTTAATTGAAGATATATGTAGATATCTATGGGCCACAGTATCCACTTAACATCAGGTGGATTGTGTGCTCGTTTGTCACCCTTACACTATAAAAAAATTGAATATTTTTTTTTCTATTTTGTGATCACATATATGTCGATCGCCATGCTCTGTCGTGCCATGCCATCATTAGCGTTTACATTACTTCTACACTCCATAGTTTACATACTACTAACGGAGTGCATTATTATTGATACTCTGAGTATAGAAATTATGAGTATAGCCGAACTTCCTTGCCAGAGTGTCCAACATTTACGACTCGATTCCAGCGTTTGAATTTTAGCGAGAGATTTTAAAATTTTGAAGAGTTTTTACGTGGTAGAGCCTCTATAGTTCTGTTATGGTTGTAGCACGAACGATTCAGCTCGACCGAGGACGGACCGCGCTCTCACAAAATACCAGCGTAAAATAACAGCTTAATGTTGCAGTTTTTGAGTGAGTGTAAAAAACTGGATAAACTTTTACTTGTTGTCAAAGCGTTATACATTGTCCCATGAAGGAATTACTGACTCTTTGAAGTCGAGTAACTATGACTAGTTTTTGCTTGTTCTCAGCATTTACAGAGTGTTCATCACTATTAAATAAAACTATTTTTGTCTTTGTGTAGAGACATTATTATAGCTGTTAGTTGTTTCAGCAAACAAATTCTGTAGATCTTTAGTATTTGCTCAATGACGCATTGTTGACGTACAAAAGTATTATTGATAAATTGTGAATTCGTGACAATAGCCGATCAGACAAATAGAGGCTAGGAAGTATATAAGACCAGAGTGGACGCCTTGTTACTCTTTGGAATTTTGCGTATCGAGGTGAGCATTGCTTAATTGACCTGGTAGCACAGAGGTGAGTTTCGATCCCCGGATATCTCTGAAAAATGGTAGAGCTGAATAAAATCCTTGATATATATAGTACCTGGATGACCGAGCTTTCCCCGGTATTTTTTTTGGAAATCGTGTGTTTTGGAAATTATATTTAGATACAAATTACATAGTGATGAAAAATGAATATTATTTTTTTGATCTTATTGACATAATAGAAAACTGCACTGCACTTACTTTAATATAAATTTTCATATAATTTTAAAAAAAATATTAAAAAAGGGCTCGAAATAATAGATTTTCTCACAAAAGAAGGAAATCTTGAAAAAAATGAAAAAAGTGGAACCTAAGACAGGACGCGAACAGGGGAACTACGCTTTCCGGACCGCCTCATATCTGATTAAGCTATTGCAATTATTATTACATTGTCAAAACTTATCTTCTTACATTGTAGCAGTTTTTCATTGCCTGAAAACACGGACAAAAAGACATTTTCTAAAAATAAATCCTAGCTAGATCGATTTATTGCCCCCGAAACTCCCTGGACACAAAATTTTATGAAAATCGTTGGAGCCGTTTTCGAGATTCCGATTATATATTTATACAAGAATTGCTTGTTTAAAGGTAAAGGTATATATATAACAACTGTCCAGGGAGACGATGTTCTGCCCTTTACAATGAGTCTTTGTTCTATAAAAAAATCATTAAATTCGCAATAAAAAATATTGAGGGGCACTTTTTAGGATAAAAACTATCCTATCTTTCAAGTTGGATCAAACTGTACACAGTGTGCGAGATTTCATAGAAAATTTAAATCAGTCAGTCAGGACAAACAGTGTGACAAGTAATTTTTTTATTTAAAGATTAGAGAGCTTCATGTGAACTTTTTTTTTATAGAATTAGGATGACAAAGGAGCACACAGTCCACCTGAAGGTAAGTGGATGCTGTGGTCCGTAGACATCTACATTTATCCTCGATTACGAACCAAAATGCAGATGCGTTGTCACCCCTGAGGACTAAGATGTAATGCCTCGATTCCAGTAAAAAGGGTCTCCGGTTTTCTACACTCACCATACGAAACACAGCAGCGCAATGCTGCTTTGCTTTACACTTTGACGCTGGTATTGTGTGTCTGTGAATGCTCTTGTATTGTGTGTCTGTGAATGACTCTTCCATTAAAAGAACTTTTCATTTAAATATGTCCGATATCTTTCTATACCGATGTCAAATTTGTCACTCTTTCAAAAATATTTTAAATGACTTTAAACAAGGAGATATAATATAAGACGCTTAAATTTCTTTTGTGTGTTCTCGATAATGACCAAATCATTTAAAATTATTCTCATTTTATTTTATAGTATACCTATACCACAAGGATGGTTCCATTTAAATTGCATAGGTACCTTAGGGTGAAAAAAATAGAGAATGAAGTCTTTCTTGTAATTATTTTTTTTAATGTGCGAGCAGGTATCCAGGTCTAGGAAAGGAGACCAGTATCACTGCGACCTAAAAGATTTATTGTGATCGCTGCTATGGCTATAGTTCACTGCTAAGCCTTATCTATATCTTCAATGAATAGGAGTTGCGTGAGCAATTTCACTTCTTCTGGGCGGAGTATATAGTTTCCCAGATGAGTTTTACGTTTGCGCATTAAGGGTCCGCAGTCAGATAGGATATCCAGAGGCGTATCTTCCGTTATGGAACAGAACCGACACATCCTTGAGTTTTTCTTTTTGTTTCTCTGAGATTGTAATTTTGATTATCCCACTCAAAAGGGTAAAAAATTAAAGTTTAAATAAAAGTTAAGCCGACTTACAAAATTTAAAAATAATAAAATAATTTCCATAAAATAGCTTCTATAGATGTGGAATTTAATTCTTTAACATATAATAATTCTAAGACCGATTTTAGAAGGATATATATTACGTATGTGGAAATTATTTATTTCTTTTTAGTTATGAATCGGTCATCATCATCATCATTACAGCCCTTCACAAGTCCACTGCTGAACATAGGCCTCCCCCAAGTAATGCCATAAAGCACGGTCCTGAGCCACCTGCATCCATCGACTTC